TTTGGGTAATTTGAAACAATTAAAATTTTAAATGTTAGAGTTTTAAAATAAAAGAAATTTCTTTTTGAAGAAACCGGAATTAACATGAATTTACGTCAATTTCATACCACTTTTAGCAATTTTATCGTTTTTGGTGCATTGTTGTCTCCATTTTTGGAGATGAGGCAAACTGAAATTACTTACAGAGAATGTAGTCACATTTTTTATTTGCTTTCTCATTGTTAAAGTTTAATTTATTTATTTGAAAATTTATTTATTTAGTTATTTTTTATTTAATTATTTATTTATTTAATTGATTTTTTTATTTAATTATTTATTTATTTAATCACTTATTTATTTATTTAATTAATTATTTATTTGCTTGCTTACTGACCACACATATTTTCATGTGCATTAGAATCAATCAATTTCTTCATTGCAAAAACGTTTCGTTTGACACTTTCAGTAACCAGGGCCTGATTATCGCAGCCCAATAGGCACGGGCCTAGGGCCCACACTTTCTGTGGGCCCTCAAAAATTAGTAAAAAGTCCACAATAATGCTTTTTTTTAATACTGAACGAAACAGTTTTTCTCAAAAAAGGCATTTTTTAATTTCAAATTTTCTTTATATTGTGATAAACCAAACTCGTGTAAACTCTTATCAAATTCGAAAGCACAGCTGAATTTTAATTGGTGCAATTTTTACTCCAACGGCTTAAGAAAATGCAACGAGAAAGCATATTCACGAAGTCTTTTATAAATGATGTGTCAGCAAGAACTAAAAATTTATTCTTTACAAATATGCGAAACTGTAGATGGAAGACTTCAATCTTTAAAATAATTCAGCTAATCAATGACTTTTCGCAAAAATCACTGATTTCACTTGTTTGGGGTCACCAAGCTATTTTTATTTTCACACAACATTTTATATTTTGCTTTAATATTTAGATGCGTAATTTATCTTAGAAAAATAATCTTCAATTGTCTGCTTTCAAAAATTTTTAGAATGTTTTTCTTGAATCATGCCGTTCAATATATTCTCTTTATTGTTAGGATTACTCTTCATAAATTTAAATTCAAAATATTTTGTTAGGGGCCCGGAAAATTTTTTGGGCCTTGGGCCTGAATTTGTCTTGACCGGTACCTGCTAGTAGCTTCACTAATTCTCCGAAACAAGAGTTTTTTTTTTCTTTTCTTTTTTTTGGTTGTTGTCAATTTTATAAAAATATTTGCAGGGTATCTGCAGCTCTGCACTTGAAAATGCATTTTGCTTACCTCAACACCAAAAATGATGTCAACAATGCACCTAAATTTTTTACTAAATTTCTTAACTTTCGTACGGTTTCAGTTAGAGCAATAATAGTGGTTTACAAATGTAATAAAGCGGCTATTTGCACTTAATAAGAGCCTCTATAGCTGCCATCTCTTGGGAAACTGACGTGTTAACGTAGTTATCTCGAAAACGATGTGAGATAGGAAAAGAAGTGAATAATAAGTATTAGAGCAGCATCGATTTAGTAGATACGTTGTAAGTGTAAATGCTATGTAAAGATTTTTTAAAATGTGCATTTGTTCTTCAGTGATTACCAAGTGTGACATGGTGAAACGATGTAAGAAAGGGGAAAGAAAAAAAACTGTTTATCCGTATGCTCAGTAATGACCACCCTTTATGCATTTTAAGATAATAATAATAAAAAAAATACTTATTTAGGGGCAAATAAATATTTAACCGGGAAAGAAACGTAGGCTGAATTGAAATTTCTTGATGGGGAAAATCAAGATAAAAGCAACAAAACCAGTTTGATTGTCTGACGAAACTTGCAGGTTTCCTAAATAATCATTTTTCAACTTCTCTTTCCTCCAGCAATCAAACCGATTTAGATTATTTTCAGTTTCCTTAATATCGATTCTTTAAATTTCAATTGCGTTCTCTATTGCACCTTCTAACATGTGTTCGATTAGAATTCTAAAAATTTTTATTGGAAATAGCTATAAAAGAAAAAGCCTGTGTGAATAAATTTGGAAGAAATTTATGAATATGGAGCTAATCTTTCCTTCATAAAGTTGTTTACAGGGAGAACCATGAAATTTATTTTTCGTATTCATATCTAACTTGATACTGGAAGAACATGTTAATCAAAAGAAAGAGAAAAGAACATGTTAATCAGAAGAAAGAGAAAAGAGCATGTTAATCAAAAGAAAGAGAAAAGAACATGTTAATCAAAAGAAAGATAAAAGAACATGTTAATCAGAAGAAAGAGAAAAGAGCATGTTAATCAAAAGAAAGAGAAAAAAACATGTTAATCAGAAGAAAGAGAAAAGAACATGTTAATCAAAAGAAAGAGAAAAGAACATGTTAATCAGAAGAAAGTGTTACGTGATATTTTGAACAAACTCAAATTTTCACTGCGATTTTATTAATTCGCTTCCGTGTCCTCAAAGATGGAATCTTACATTCGAAATTCGGACCATTTTCTGATTAACTAGAGAACTGATTATTATTACATAAATATATTTTTGGCAACTTCGAATCCTCCCCTCATTGATAGCAAAAATTACAATATCACAAAACCCCTTCCATGTTTACGTAAGAAAGCCGCAAAGAAGATTTTCCTCTCCAAATATTGCTTTACCGAATTCAACTTTTATTCAAAAATGGAAATTTTCCACGAATAGCTTTTTTGTTCCACTCTTTTATTGCTTTTTAAAAAAAATTGAAAATAAGGGACTTTTAATGTCTTACGTATAAGCATTAATAATACCCCTCCTCTTGTGTCAGCAAAAATAAGCAAATCACAAAACCCTTCACCTGCGTTAAATGCTTACGCAAATTTCTAAACGGCTTCTGGATGACAATGCAAGTTTCAACCGTTTCCTGACCTCTCCTACTAAAATTTACAGTCATTTTTGTAGCCAATCGAAATTCCGACCACTTTCCGACTAAGTAGAGTGCTGAAATCTCATCTTAACGACGATACATGTTTCTATCTTTTCCTTGCCACTACAAGCAAAATTTATCGTCCAAAGGAATTAATCGTCAATTCACATTTCGACCACTTTCTGACACAAAATATCAGATACAAACATAAAAGGAAAGAAATAAAATTTCTTTCTAGTTTTTGTTTTGTTTGTTTGTTTGTTTATTTGAAACACGTAATTTTAAACGTTTTATTTTATTTTATCGTTTTTTGGGTTAAAACAGCAATTTGTAAATAGGAAGCAATAATTTGTTTTAACAAGCCTTTAGAATATTTAGTGAAGTATGCGATATTTTTACTTTCTATTTTTTTTTTCGTTCCTAAAGAAACTTTCCTTTTCTCTACTTTTTAGAACTTTTTAAAAACATTTTATGCGGAAAAAAGTAATTATTTCAACATATTTAATCGTATTTTTGTACTTCAAGTTAAACCATCTATAGTGTAAAATTTTTTTAACATTTGATTTCATGATACTGTGGTTAAACCTGAATGGGAATATGGTTCAAATTAACAGCTTATTTGTGATCAAGTTAAACCATCTATAGTGCAAAATGTTTTTAACATTTGATTTCATGATACTGTGGTTAAACCTGAGTGGGAATATGATTCATACTAATAGCTTATTTGTGATCAAGTTAAACCATCTATAGTGCATAATTCTTTTAGCATTTGATTTCATGATACTGTGGTTAAACCTGAATGGGAGTATGATTCATGCTAACAGCTTATTTGTGATCAAGTTAAACCATCCATAGTTTATAATTCTTTTAACATTTGATTTCATGATACTGTGGTTAAACCTGAGTGGGAATATGATTCATATTAACAGCTTATTTGTGATCAAATTAAACCATCTATAGTGCATAATTCTTTTAGCATTTGATTTCATGATACTATGGTTAAACCTGAATGGAAATATGGTTCGTACTAACAGCTTATTTGTGATCAAGATAAACCATCTATAGTGCAAAATTCTTTTAATATTTGATTTACCAAATGAATGGTTCGAATACCGTATATATTGGCTTTATTCCGGAATTATGCTTTTTTACTTATTTTTTCCCCCACCAATAATGTCACTAGCATAGAATTATGGTAAGTTTACCAAAAGTTTTTCCTCCGTGAACAGTCCTGAACTCTTTAGTATAATTCTAGTATCCGAATCATTAAATATAAAAAATGAAAAACTTACTTTTTGCACTTTAATTTTTACTAATAATTATTTTTAGCAGCATATATTTACTATACACTGCTGTTATCCCCTTAACCAAAGCTGGATACAGGTTTTTTGGACCCTAGAACGAAGTTTATTTTAAGCCCTTCTTCATAAAAAAAACAACAACTTATTTTTTTATTTTGTGAATTTTTTAAGAGCCTTTAACCAAAATGGTAGTTTTTATATTCTCTCGTTCAAAGGGAAATTCTCTGAAAAGTTTTACAAAATTAGTTATAAGATACTAAATTTTTTTGTAAGGAATTCTGACCGTGCACTCAACAGTCCAGGGTCCTGGGATCGCCTGGTCCCGTCTCCACTTCCTTGTAACCACGGCCTAGCTCAACACCTAAAATAAGCCAAATCTTGAATTCTCACTACTGGCTTGAGTAGCCTTATAACGAGAAATAACTTAAACCACCATGTTAAAACTTTTTGTGTTTAACATTTATGTTTTAAAACCTTTCATACAAGCAAACATGGAGTGTTACTGTAGACCAAAGTTTTACAACAATTAATTAGTCTATAAAAGAAGTATTCCTAAATTGACAGATGTTTTTAGTTAGAAAATAAAATAATCTGATTATTTTGAATGACGGTAATAATTTTTCAAAAAGGAGGACAATGAAAAGTTAATTTAATGGATGGAAACAATGAATCATCGAAACATAAAGCAAATTTCAGCAATTAAATCAGTAAGTAAATCTACTGATTGACTGAAAGCATAACATAATTAAATATTGTTTGTAAAAGGAAAGTTACTCTGCCTTCCACTCTTGCTCTCACACTAAACTGAAAATAAATGAAGGAATGAAATAAACACAACACAAACATGAAAATAATATTTTATTAACGAAATAAATTGGTTTCTTATTTATGATTAAATACCGAATATAGTACAAATCCCATGTTTTGCTTCATATTAAATTTTGAGATATTTAAATTTGATATTTGACTGCATGCAGAATCTTGCGCAACCCTTCGCCTTTAATGTATTTAATTTTATAATCCTTGTAAGACAAATTAGGTCTAACTTATATGCTTATTAAACTTAGGAAAAAAATGTGATCAAAACTACCAGAATATGGTGAAAATTACTGGCTCTATGGGAGCACTAAAAAGCTCGGTTGTTTTTTAACCGAAGTGCTTTGACAATGATTTTGCAAGCAATAAAGTGCAACAAAACAAACATTAAAAACACAACAATATTAAATAAAAATTTTCAAACACGTAAAAATATAAATTAATCAACAAAAAAGAAATAATAATAGTTTTATAGCATGCTAAATTGCCATATATTTTGCGAACACTATTTTAAGCTATTAGAATAATTTTTCTTTTTAAATAGCTTTATCATTTGGTAAAATATCAAAGATGAACACAAACAATAATTAAAAGTTTTTTTTTAACCTTTTGCATTCCATTAGCATTTTTGAATTTCAACAGAGAAATTCACTTTTTAAAATATACAGAGTCTACTCCATTTTATATGCTTTTATCAGGGATAAAAATGAGTTTCTTCTTTGGCAATCCTTGCTAATCTCCTACCTTTTGCAACAAACGTAAAATCAAATCCTTTTTCGGTAATCCTCATCAAGGTTATTGTGCTATTTTATTTAACAATACTATTTTAATGATATGTTTAACTTTATATAATGGTAGCTCTTTATAACAATATTTCTTTATTAAGATCTTTGCAGCGATTTTCGTTACTAAAATATCAAAGACAAACGCAAATATTCTTTATAAAAACTAGTTTTTAGACTACATTATATATCACAACAAAGAACTGTTCCTTTTAAAATGTACAGAAATTATTCTAATTTTTATACTTTTATGATGGATTAAATTAGTTTCCTAGTTGGCAATCCTTGTTGATCTACTCTCTTTTGAAAAACGCAAATTCAATTCACTTCTAGCAATCTTCATAAACTTAATAAAAAAAAAAAGAACTCAACTAATTTCAAAGACGACACGCGCCATCTAACATCACGAATAGCGAATTTAGTTAATTATAAAAGCAATTTCCTTTTTTTCTTTATTTCTATCTAAGAAATATAAACAACACGCTTTGCTTTTAAGAAAGTGTTGAGATGAACTCATATATTGGTGGGAGGGGGGGTGATTCAAAGAAAGGAATAACTTTAAGGTCACAGTTAATCAAGCGAGCGATACTATTAAAGAACAAGTTTTTGCAAGAGAAAAACAGTGAAAAACTCTGTTTGGAAAGGAACCGCCGTTAATGGGAAAAATGACGGAATTTTTAGCAAGACGGAATTTTTAATTTCCTCGCCCGACCGAAGAAGGGCTCTAGCAAGGGAGTCTTCTATCCATCAAGAAGCAGGGTGGACCTATATTTCTTTTCTTTTCTCATTTTGAAGTTATTCATCACATGTTCACGACGTGAAGCAGGACCTAAAATAGAAGAAAAAAGAACTTGTTAATAGATGTTTTGTAGGGTGTTGTGAACATTGTGTGAGGGTGTTTTTTGGTATCGGAAATGAGTAAATTGTTGAAAGACTGATGTTTGTTATAGCCATTTTGGTCGTAGAACTTTTAATTACGTTATTATATACGTTAAACTAAAATATCGCGAAAATTGTAAGTTGGTAAAGTGTTATGTAGAACGTTGGTAAAGTGTTATGTAGAACCATTGCTTATTCATTCCTCCACTTCATTTACTATAATAATGTTCCTATTGTTATATGTTATCATGTTATAGTGTTTTTTTTTCTTTTTTCAGAGCCCGACTGGAGAATGACCTTTGGTCATACAGGCATCTGTTGGCCACTCTTTCAGGGGCACCATATTGTTGAAAGACGGATGTTTGTTACAGCTATTTTGGTCGTAGAGCTTTTAATTATGTTAATACGTTAAACTAAAATATCGTGAAAATTTTAGTCTACGTTGGTAAAGTGTTATGTAGAACCATTGCTTATTCATTCCTCCATTTCATTATACTATAATAATGCTCCTATTGTTATATGTTATCATGTTATAGTGTTTCTTTTCTTCTTTTTTCAGAGCCCGACTGGAGAATGACCTTTGGTCATACAGGCATCTGTTGGCCACTCTTTCAGGGGCACCATATTGTTGAAAGACTGATGTTTGTTACAGCTATTTTGGTCGTAGAACTTTTAATTATGTTATTATATACGTTAAACTAAAATACCGTGAAAATTTTAGTCTACGTTGATAAAGTATTAAGTCGAACCATTGCTAATCCATTCTTCCACTTTATTATACTATAATAATGTTCCCACTGTTATATGTTATATTGTTTTGCTGTTTTCAATGCCTAACTGGAGAATGACCTTTGGTCATACAAGCATCAGAAGAGCAGATTTGTTGGCCACTCTTTCAGGGACACCATATTGGTCGTAGAACCATATTGATCGCATTGGTCGTAGGACTTTTAATTATGTTATTATGTACGTTAAACTAAAATATCGTGAAAATTTTTGTCTACGTTGGTAAAGTGCTAAGTCGAACCATTGCTAAGCCACTTTATTATACTATAATAATATTCCTATTGTTACATGTTAACATGTTGCATTGATTTTTTTCAATGCCCAACTGGAGAATGACCTTTGGTCATACAGGCATCTGAAGGGCAGATTTGTTGGCCACTCTTTCAGAGGCACCATATTAGGTGGTCCAACGTTGCTCCCACAGTAAGGACAGATAGTACAGATAATAAAAGAACATCTATGCTTTGTCCGGGATTCAAACCCAGAACCTTTCCGATGCAAGGCCATTTCCTTGACCCCTACACAAGTCGGTCGGCTTTATGTTATAATGTTATGTATAGCATTATACAATAAGTTGTATAATGTAATGTATAATGCTATACAGCTTAATACACTGTTAAAATTATGTTGTATAGATGAAAGCAGTTTTGTTGTTGAGATGAACTAAATGTATTTTTTAAGTTTATAACTGTGGTTATTGTGCAAAAAAATATATAGATATAATTGACAAAATAACAATTGTTTGTAAGAATTGAGACAAAAATATAACTAAAAATATGTTTATTTTTTAAGTGAAATATTTTTGCAATGAAGTCATAAATTGCTTCTAATGTGCACGAAAATATGCGCTGCGAGAAAATAAACAAACAAAAAATCAATAAATACACAAATAAAACTATAACGGTGAAAAATTAGATAAAAAATGCCCTGACAATTATTTTACAATTCTATTTTAATTAATATTAATAAAATTATTATTTCAAATATTTAATCGCAATAGGATCAGTTGTGAAGAATATTGTAAAAATAAATATAATCTATGAATACTTACTTATATTTACTTCTTTCTAATATATAATACTATAATGAAAGTGTCCCAAATGTATTGTAATAAATGTTGAAGAAATGAAAAATACAATCGAATTCAATTTTGTTATAGGTAGTATTTATATGGTGCATATCTTGTATAAAATGTACGTATTTTTTGTTACAATTATAATAGTATTTTTTTTCAGTTAAACTAAATTATGAATTTTTATTTATTTTTTTTTTTCGTAAAAATTCATATTTTACAGATTTTACGTGCATTTACAGTTCTACTAAGTAAAACTGTTTCATCTCGCATTAAAAATTTTCACAACTTTTTTGCTGATTCTAAATAATATACTAAATGTATCTGTAAGATCAGGAAAAACTATTTTGAATGATAAATTTGCACAAATGAAATTTTTATGTATACATATATTTCGAAAGAAAGTTATATTTCAGCTACGATTCTTTAATATTTATTTATATATGTTTAATGATTTCTAAATGATAAAAATATGTAATAATATGTAAGTTAAAGTAAATATAATTTACTGAATGTTCAAAAAAATAGCGAGGGTAATATGCACATTCGATAAACTAATTGAATATACATAGATGTATATTCAGTATTATATTATCTGCTAAAATGTATATTCAATAAGCTAATTGCGCACATTATTAAAATGATTGGGAATAAAAAAATGCTAAAAAAAATTTGAATTTATCAGTTTATTAAATAGTTTACCCCTCCCCTTAAAATTTCTCTCTAGGTTTACAACAAAAATCAATTTTTTAAGTAAAATGAATTAAATTGCAGTTTTTAAATAAATTACTTTATTAAATATAGAAAACTCATTTTTTAAAGTATTAATAAACTGACGGTGTAAAGTACTAATTATTATTTCTTTCAGAATTTATCATTTCTTCCTGTCTGTTTCTTAAATAATATAGATAGCCATGCATAGGTACTATTAATAAACTTTTCTAATTAAAACTATTTACAGCGCTATTGATAAATAATATTCTTTATTGAAATAAAATTACCATTTGTATTTTTTATTTATAAATAATTTAATGATATAAAATAATATTTTTTTTAGTATTTAAAATTGATTTTCCGTTGTCTTTCAATTCATATTGATATTTTTATATAAGTACTATAAAGAAATTTCTGTAATGTAAACATGAAAACAGAACCATACATACACGCTTTGAATCTATTTTATTGGATATTAAAAAATAGAAAGTGTTTTTGGTAATAGGACCATTAGGTAAATTATAAATTATAAGTAGCAATGAATATAAAATTATAGGTTTTTTTAAGTAGCATTTAAAAATTTATAATGTTTAATTCTCTAATTAAAAATGATGATGTTGCTTCATCAATCAATAAAGATATTTTTCAGTTAAGAGTAATTATATTATTAGATTAATTGTTAACAACATATTGATAATGTTAATTGCGTTGGAATTATTAACTAGGTTCTTGAAAGAAATTATTAATCTTTATTACGAATCAATAATCCCTTCATTTTATTCCCCTAAATAATTTAGATATGGCCACACTTAAAATATCTTATTCAATCAGGACTAATTGCATTATTAACTCTTATCATGATAATACATAATTCTTATCAGGAAATTTCCCCAAAAAACATTGCACGGCAAAAACAGATTTTAATTTGTGGGGGAGAATTAATCCCTGCATTGCATAGTAACACAGTGCGTACGAATGCAATTATTATGTTTCTCACACTTTTCGGATGGAGGTCTCTTGTTATATAAAAAGATCCCATAAAATTTAAATGTGTGCACGATCCCTTCTGCTTTTTAATATGAGGATCATACGTGCGTGGAAGTCACGTGATGCTGTCACCGGTTCCACCTTTTTGGTTTCTATAGCAGCCGGCACCAAACAACGACAAGGTAAGCACGATAACCTTATAAGAAATGCGACGATTCTTTTTCTTGTTTCTAGAAATTCAAACTTAGTTTGAGAAACAAAATAAAAGGTTTGGCTATGATTTTCTAAAAATAAGCATGCCAGATTGATTATATTGACAAAAATGTACGAGGACAACGCTACAATGTTAAAATTATTGTTACATTTTTCCATTCGATAAATGAAACTTTTATCAAACGATATTTAAATATCCACGAGAAAAAAAATGGCGCAGAATATAAAATATCGGATTCAGGTATTTAAAAGTTTCAGTTAAGAAATGTGTAATACATGATTTTCTACAGATAAACAGGAATTTTAAATTCACTATTATTTTTTATTGAACTAAAAAATTTATACAATAACACATTTATTCGTATATATAATTTTAAGAATAATTTCGTAATTAAGGATAAGGATAATTTCGGAAATGGAACTTAGTAAGATTTTTTTAAGAAGCTTAAAAAGTTCATCGAATAAATATTTCTTAATTTTCCTTTCAATTAAGCGTACTCTATATTGTAAAACAAAATACTAATTTAGTGGTTTAATAATTTTTTCGAATGAGATTTGATTTAAGAATGAAATATTTTTGCTTTATAATTCTACTTTTAATCGACAAAAGGACAATAAAAACAAATAAAAAACCAAGACTTTAATCTTTTATTTAGTGAATTTGAGATTTTTAATTCAAGAGGGGAAACTACTCTTCTTTTGAGAAAAAATCGCACCTTTTTATATTTTACATGCTTTTGTGATCAATTTAAGAAATAATTTTGCTTTTTTGATTGCTGACAGCTATAATGATTTGTTATGCATCAAAAGGACATTATTTGAGCATTTTTGCACAACTATAATGGGTGCAACAGAAAAAAAGTAAAATGCAATGAAAAAAAAAACTGTTTCATGAATTAATTTTTATAATAGTAAAACTACAAAGTTATGCATACTTTTTATTGTTATTCTATTTGGTTATTTACGAGGTCAATTCACTAGTTCAAACACTCTGGTTAAGTTGGTTTAACCTTTATACAATACTCAAGTTTTGTCCTAACAATGTGCATACTAATTAGACTTTATTATAATATTCTTTTTTTAAAAAAAAAAGAATCAAAATTGTTTCACCTGCTGAAATTCAAACTGCTGAATTTATTTCAAACGGAGCATCAAATAGACTTCCACGCTTTTCAGCT